AAAAAAAAAAAAAAACTAGTAGAAATGATAAAGTGCCTGGTTACAATATTAATTCACAAAAACCAATAACTTTTAGGTATATGAATGCTAACCAGTTAGAGACCATAATAAGAAAGATCCCACTTAAAATAGGAAAAAAGAAAATAGAGCACTTAGGCATAAATGTAGAAATCTATTAAGCTTTAGTGAAGAAAACTGAACTGAAGGATATATGCAATATTATGAGTTATAAGAAATATATATTTGGTGATTCAGATGACCAACATATAATTCTTATATATACAGAAGGTGCCAAAAAAAAAATGTTACACAGTTTAAGAAAGGAAAAAACTGTACTGAAATTGTAATACTCAATATACACGGATAACAAAAGATGAATATAAGTCATGTGCATTCATTTTTTTTTTGACACCCCAAGTATATGTGGTCTTCCTCTACAGTTCCAGATTCACAAGCTCCCAAAACCTCTGGAATTTCCTAAGTGTTGACAGTGATGATGAAGGTGTCTTTTGTTATGTTAATGAGGCGAACCCTCCATGTTGGAAATTGGGTCTCAGACCAGTTATTTAATTAAAAAAAAACTTGAATAAATAGGAAAACATATCTTTTTTTTTTTTAGAGAGAGAAAGGCTCAATAAAGATGTCAATTTTCCCTAAAATGTATTAATCTGACCCCAATTAACAATCTACAGGATTCTTTTTAACATGATTAAATGTTACTAAACTTCTTCGTGACAAATAAACATGTGAGATCCACCAGTGAAATTCTGAAAAATAAAAATAAGGAGAAAGAAGCAACCCTACAGGTCTTAAAAGCATATTGTAAAACTACGGTAAACGAGGTTGTTCCTAAATAAACAATAAACAGATGAATGAAACAGAATAAAGAGATCCAAAATACACATGGAAATTGAATGAATACTCAAAGAAGTGCTTCACATCAGTAGGAAAATTTTAATAATGAAATCAATTATGGGTTGGGTTTTTTGGGGATTTTTTTTTCTTTTTATATGTTAAATTGAGAAAGATCTTTCTAAACATGGCATGAAACAGAGAAGCCATTCAAGAAAAGTTTGATAATTTGACTACATAAAAATTTTTTAGGGCCGGCCGAGTGGCGCGTTGGTTAAGAGTTGGCTNAAAAAAAAAAAAAAAGAGCTAGTCTTTGGATCTCCAATAAAGGCTTGTGGCCTCTCACTTTGTCCTTTCATTTTTAGGGGACCACTCCCAGTGCCCCTCTCTGCGTCTCCTTCTAGGGCTCCCCTGTACTCGTGGCCCCGAGAGGCATCTGTGAGTGTCTCCATGAAGGGCCCTTCCGAGAGTGGCTCATTGGGAGAGTTCCTCTGAAGGACCTGTCGGAGGGCTTCTCCAAAGGCGCCTCAGCCTGGGGCCCCTGTGAGGCCTCTCAGTCTGGGGGCACTTAGATGGGCTGTCTCAGTCGAGGACCCTTTCATGGGGTGAGGTGGGGAGCTTGTCTCAGCCTAAATGTTCCTGGGGAGTAACAGCTGCCCAAATGCATACCTGATGGTAGGTAGGCAGTCCCCCGGAAGGCAGCGCCCACGGAGCTGGGGCTGCCCTGCCCCTGCTCCCTCTGGTGGCAGGCGGTGCACGCCACATGCCCCTCAGATCGAGACCAGGGACAGCACCTCCATGGCGCTCCAGTGCTTTCCTGCAGCATTTCCGCCACCCTCACTCACCCCACATTCCTCGAACCAGAACCTGTGTCCACCCTCTTCACCCCTGCACCGCAGGGAGGGCGGGGAGGAGGGTCCAGTGTCTCCAGCACCCATCGGGAGAGGATGCCAGTTCATCAGAGGCTCTGGAATTTCAACCCAGTCCTACCTGTTCCTGTCTTTGTGACTTCACCTGTCTAAAATATGTTTCCTCCTCTTTCATACAGGACTTAAAAATAGAACCAACCTCGAAGGGCTGTGAGAATTAAGGAAGAAAATGCAAGAAAATGTTTAGCACCGTGCCTGGCTCTAGCAAGCCCTCAACTCGGCTCACTGAGACCATTATCATTTAATGACACAAACCCCAGGGGTCAGAGAAGTGGGAGCCAAGATCCTGCCCCTGAGCCACAGGAGGCACCTCACCTGCCCCAGAGATCTGTCTCTACCTTTCATATATTCATTCATCAACCATTTCGTTTGTCGAAGAAAGGACATCCAGCCTAAGAAAAAGTCTTATAAGAGTTTATTTGAGCCAAGGTGATGACAATTGCCCAAAAGCAAAATCTCAACGGGTTGAGAAAACGCTCCCGAGAATGGCAGTTTTGCGGCTTATTTTATACATTAGACTCAAAGGAGGAGACTAAGGGGGTGACATGGAATCCATAGGCGGTAGATTAGGGGGGCGGGAGAAAGCAACGGGGGGCTCTCTGGGATTGGATAAAAAGTAAAAGGGAGGGACACATAGTTCTTTCACACTGTGGGTACAGGACAGATAATAACATTGACAGCACATGGAGATGGGGGACAAGATAACAACAAGGGGCTCTGTGGTCTATGCTCTGGTGGGACATTATGCCCTGAGTGATCTGGAAAAGGGGGTTCCTCTGACATTTCAAAGGTCTGTTATCCTCGATGCTAAAAGACAATAGATAAGCTCACCTAAGGCAAAGATTGACCTTTGTCAAGGAATCTACAGGCCTAGGATGTGACTACCTGCCATGACCTGCTTTAGTTAGGAATTTTTATTTTCCGACCATCTTGTGTGGTTACTCTCGGTCTCTGAGTTTATAGGGCCCGCCAGGCAGGCCTCTCCTTGTCAGGTTTAGTACGTGGCCCCTTTTTCATCCACAATTTATTGAGCACCTACCTTATACAAGACCAGGTGCTCAATGCTGCAGAATATTCGAAGATGAATAACACTTGTGGTCCTCAAGGAGCTCAGAATTTTTGGACCCACCCTCAGGTCAGGGCAGAGCTTTCTCACCCCCTACTCGCAAGAGAAGAAATCGAGGTGGGGTGGGAATAAGAAACATTTGTGTCTCAAGGACGAGGCTGTAGATGGGGAGAGTGGGGTCCTGCCCTGCCCTGCCTGCGCCATCCCAGCCTGCAGGCTTTACTTCTTCCGGATCTCCAGGGCCTTCTCTTTCCTGATCTCCTTGGCCAGCTCCCCAATCAGTCTCCAGTACTCGTTGAACTTGAGCTCTGAATCCTGATTCACATCCAAGCTCTTCATCTTGTCATCTAAGGAGCCCACATCCTGAGGAGACACCAAAGGGAAGGGTGGAGTTGGAAACGAGGGTTCTTGAGCCAGGGAGCCAGGGAGGACCTGCCAGGCACCATGCCTTCCCCTCGGGGAGCACGAGGACCTGTCCCGCACCTTCAGGTCGAGGCTGCAGCCCCAAGACAAGGGGCTGTGGTACCGAACTCCAAGGAGCTACAGCACAGGGAGGTGGGGGACCTGATTCGTAGGGTTTGCCGCCATGTAAATACTCCCACCAAGGC